TACCAAATAGGGATATCCACTTCTATGCCTTTCGGAGTCTCTTCCAGTGTCTGTATCTCTGTTGCAACCTGCTGATGACACTCAAAATTAGCACTGAAAAATAAATCGAGTTCACGATGTAAGAGAATGCAATTTTCAAAGGCTGAAACTTGGAGAAAAAAAGGCTTCACTTCTTTTATTTCCTCCCTCTCTCTCAGTAGACAGTATGTGTATGCACTTTTACATCAAATTATGTTTTTCACAAATATAAGCAAGCCAGATGTTAATACTTAGTACAACACCCTTTTGCCAACAAAACAGCTCCAAACCTCCTGTTTCAGAAGGGAACGCAGAATGCAGAAAGAGGAATCTTTGACCATTCCTCTTTGCACAATCTCTCTAAATCTCCCTGGGTCCTGAACTGAATCTTCTCCTCTTTGGCTCACGCCACACGTTTTCAATGGGGTTGAGGTCTGGGGACTGAGATGGCCATGGGAGGAGCTTGAAGTATTTGTCCAATTTTCAGTAGATAGATAGAGATATTATGGAGAGTACTATATATATGAATGTTTTATGTAGTTTATATAGTGTGTATGTTCAGTGCTTCAGAAGTGCAGTACATAAGCTGAAATGATAGTCACACATTTGTTTTCATTGTTGTAACATGACATTTGACAATGACTCATGTTTGTGCCACTCTTGTTTGGTGGGATTTCGTTGACAGTGAATTCTTAAAAGACAGCAAGTCTTTGTAAGTTAAGTACTCTAACCGAAGTAACTGTTTTCATAACAATTTAAGTCTCTTTTGCCGTTATTTTCCGTAATTTATAAGACCAAAACAAGTATGTAAAATAAATCCGATCGTTTTTATTGTAATAAGGTTTATTGTTTGTGCTTGTTAAAAGAATACATGGACAGGGGAAAATGAAAGTTAAAATTAAATTCACCTGTAATGTTGCATGTTACGTTCAGGCTGAAGTTTCCCCCAAAGCCGAATATCCGGAACTCCCACCCCACCCCCAACCTGACGGCAGCCTAACTGCCGCTTCACTCCCCGGAATACTGGCCACAATGGAACCGCGAAAGCAGCCGCTGTACGCGGTTCCCAAACCTGCCGTGTAACGTGCCCGACGAACCGAGTCGCGTTCCCCAGCACCGGTCCCCGGTCAGAGAGACTCGCAAGTGGCGAGATTTACTCTCGACAGCTGCTAGGTTCGCTTTTGACGAGTTGCTTTTGGTGAGTGTGGCGGCAGCGTCACATCAAGTGACTTAAAAGCTAGCCCGCGCTCACTCTGGAGGGGTTTCAAGCCGGTATCCCGTCTCGCCTTGGTCGAACGCAAACGGGGACACGCTGTAAGGCTAAAAATACCTGTCTACGACTATATTTGGCTTGGCTGGTTCACAATTGCGCCGCTGAAATAGTAGGGCCCGCCCCGGTACAATGAATGGACTCCCTTTCAACTTCCATCCTCCGTCTGCCAGGTGCTAAAATTAGCAACAAAGCTTGCGTCAATCACGAGCCTCAGTGCGTCAAGGCTTTCCCCGCCCACAGAAAAATTCGCGCCTCGTGATTGGATGCTACGATTTTGTTCTTTCTTTTTTTTATCAGGGGGCTTCTGAGCAGCTTTTTTAATTTGATGTTTGTCGTGTCCAAATGCCCGCTGGACCTGCTTGACCTCACCCCACGCAACCCCCCCAATAAAAAAATTAACCACACGTTTGCCCAAAATGCGAACATTATTTTTGGTTTGGGTGTATTTTATTTAACAATTAATATTTTTGTTCCTGGCAAAGAACCACAAGTCAGGTGGTTTAGTGAGCTGCTTTAATTTGGTATGTGCGTCAATGCCTTCCTACGCATTAATACCAGCATCCATGCACAAATTCACCCACAGTCTGATTTGAACTGGAGAAAATGCTTAACATGCTGAAACACGTATCAGTTCCATCCCTGAAAGAACAAATTATTTGATTATGCGTTTTATCTGCTCAGCCACAGCAAGGCAAGAGGATTTTATTATTTATATGGCACATTTCATACACAAGGCAAAGACGCAACACTTAAAAGCATTAACAAACAGAAAAGTTAACGACATTTAGAAGCAAAGCAGGGAAAACTAAAGTATAGCTTACCAAATTGACTCAAGGGACGTACAATGAGAACATTTAAACACATTAACATCAAACTTTAAAAAAAAATAAATAAATAAAGGTAAATAAATAAAGATAAAATGGTTTCTAAAATTACTAAAAGGAAAAAAAATGATGACAAGACCTTAATCAAAGGTATGGAGAAAAAAAGTAACATTATTAATTAATAATAAAAAGCATTTACACTCGAGGCTGACTTCACTTCTGGTGACAGCTTATTCCATTTGCGTGCAGCATAACAGTTAAATTCAGATTCACCATGTTTACTTTGACAGCAGAATTGTGAGTTCTGACAAGCTGGTAACAGCATAACCTTGTCACTAAGCGCTACATTACAATCCACAAAAAAAAAAAAAAAAAAAAAAACTGACCTGAAGCCATTGGAAAACAAAAATAAAAGAGATGCACCGATGGATAGATGGATAGATTGCATATAACTAAATATACTTGGAGGAACATAAACCAGGAAGCATTAACAACAATGTCACAATAGATTGGGAGAAGCAAGATATTCACCATCTCTGGTATTTAAGAGAATTGTTTGACGTGTCTGGCTCCAACGCTGATTTGTTGCGAATACTAAACACAGTGTCCTGTGCAAGCCTAAAAACCACATGCCTTTGGCATTCGTAAATTCTCCACCTAATCTGAAAAATCACAAGTCTAATGAATTTAGTCCAATCACAATATTAGCAAAGCTATTTTCCGAGCATGCCCAGTAATTTTGTTTTCTTATCTCGAAAATCACCACAAAAAAAAAAAAAAAAACAGTACACACTGTGCAAGGTATTAAAAGAAGCAAACTGTTTTGTGTGAAGAGTGAACAGTATAGTAGACATGAGTAAAAATGTATTTTTACGTTCAACTTTTGTGCTTAGGTTACATTTCAGTCTGTACTTTTTACAGGTAGAGAGAGGGGATAAGGGGAAAGGACAACAAAGTTTGTCAAACTGGAGGTAGATATTCCATCATAGTTTCAGAAATACCCCTCAAACATTAAGTAACAGGTAAAAGTATGTATGTAAGTGTTCCCACAACTGCGAGACAAGAATAATTGACACCTCGTCAGTCACACCTTCTGTTTTCTAGGTCATTGCAAATTTCTCCATTGTAGGGCAAATAAAGGTTTTCTTATCTTATCTTATGGTGGGTTCTTTCAAATCAAATTTGCGGCACCAGATGGGGCCAGAAGGAAAAGTTTTGTTTTGTTTTGTTTAGTTTTGGGAGGGAAGGTCACTGTTTGTTTGTTTGTTTGTTTGTATTATTACTCCATGCTTTACTAATGTAGTACTGTCAGGTCATACTGGGTGTTTTAACAAAAATGAGAACAGCCACCTCTGGAAGTGAATGTGAAGCGTTGTGTAAAGAAGTAAGCACAAGCTCGCCCTACCGCCCACCAGCGAGGGTCTCCCTGAACTGCATCCATCAAACCAACCAGCTGGCTTGGGCTCCCTCTCTCGCTCTGCCACTGTGTCTCTGTGCGAGCAGCTCAGAGAGACCGGAGAAGAAAGAGGGGAGGGTTCTACTTGGAGTGACGTCACCTATCCCATGGCGTCACATTGACGTAGCGCATACCAGGCGCTCTAGTGGAGGCTGAGCCCACATAAATGCACTATTTGACTTTCTTCCCTCAGACGGCGCGCATAAACAAAGTGCACACTTTGCAAAGTGGCGCTCACAACGGGACGGAAACGGACACTCTTTTGAGCACTCATGTGTTTCTATTTTTCATTTTTACAAACACTTAGACTACTTTTCACAAAATAACAAGGAAGGAAACAAGAAACTTTTACCGCGATTTTCAACTAAAGATTTTGCTCTTTCTTTTTTCTTTCTTTGTATCTGTCATTTTTTTTTTTACATTTTCGACTTTTGGGTGATTATTGTGGATGGGAAAAGGATACTTGATGCGAGCTTGTCATCACAAGTAAAGACGGAACCTCCACAGCAAAGCAGTAAGTAATACTTTTTTAATAATTAGATTATCAAAAAATACACACACACACACACGTGCCCAACCATGAGAATATGCCCCACTATTACGAGCTTTTTATGGTTTATACGATCAAGCGGTGGCCCAGACGTGTTGAACAGTCAAGCTCGGCTCTGGGACGAGTTCCATTCATTATTTTTTTTTCCCTTTTTTCACGCAGAAGGTCTCTGGTTGTCATGGAGATGAGATGCCTCATAGAGTCAGACGTCAATTAAAACCGTTGCAATCTGTTTTAAAATTACTTTTAAAAACAGCGTTTTAAGCTTCAAAAGTGTGATGCCAGGTCCTATCAAAGTCCAATGAGTAATGCAAATTCATTTTTCTTAGCATCACTTCTGGTGTTTTTTTTTATCTCCTTAATTCTTACTACAAGAGTTGACTCAAAGTGCCACTGTTTTCCTCGATCTGACAGCAGTCCATTTCTGTGTGGTTTTACACTTGACTCGCTCGCCCCTTTTTTAAATGTCTCTGTTTGCTGGAAACATCCCGCTGTCCGGCTTTATTGGCGCAAGGGAGGGAGGCGAGTGAACACCGGGGGTTTACCGGCGCACCGGGTGCGTGTTTTGCGGCTTATGTGTGGCTCTCATGGTTACCGGTGCGCGCTGAGCCAAAGGAGAGCTCCCCGCACAGCGCTTCCAATTCGAATGAGTTTTTACCTATTTTCTCATTTAATGGAAATAACTCAATAGTCTAGTGCCCCCCCCCAAAAAAAGGCCATTATGCTTGTTTTAAAGGTTACTTGAATCTGGTTATTATCATAAATTCTTGCTTATAATATCAAGGTTGGTGTCGTTTTTTTTAATAACTGTAATGACAACTTTCTGCGCAGGACCCTAAATTTAAACTGAAAAGGCATACTAACTTATCTAAAACATGTTACGCTTCACTTCGAGTTCGTTCCGCCTTCATATTGAAGTACAATAAGTGTTTATTACGATTCTTATGGCTGCGTGAAGGTTGGAGTTGCCCAAAGCAGATTAATACACTGCCTCCAATGTTGAGAAAGGTCCGTGTCCCCTTTATGGAATGTATGCAAAAGTGTGGTGGGACCGCGAGTGTGCGGCGGTTACAGGTCACAAGAACACATAGGATAAAGATTTGTAGAATCTCCGTTTTGACCCGAGGGCGTATGTGGCGGAAAGGGGGCGCTCTAAACCTTGAAATTCCCGATGCGCCGTGCGTCCGACTACATTGAGAGGCAGCCGGAGACGCACCGTGCACCCAAGTTCTTCTTCTCCGTCCCTTTTTCTTTTTCTTTTTTTTGCGTGCACGCATGCACGTGTATGCGTGCATGGCTGCGTGGGGTCATGCCGTTAGACTGCCCTTCTGGATGAATCCCCAGCAAACGAACACGGTGGAGATCAGAAGCGAGCGCCATGCAGCTTCTTGCCCACACTCCGTTGCTTTAGTAAAAGTGCTCACTTGTCTGGGTTCGTATATGTCTGTTTCTGTGGTCACATTAGGCGTTGGGACTCAAAGTGAAAGTTTTTGCACGCCTACGTGCTGAAATTCACGTTTTTTTCTATTTGTTGCACACTGGGGGGGGGCAGTTGTTATTCATGTAATTATGTCTGAAATGCTGTTTATTGACAATTTTGGTGTCATGTTTAGAGTTCATTGTAGTTCTTTATTGTTAAAATTAAAATATATGTCGTTCAGGGAACATAATAACTCTGATAGTAACTGTACTGGTTCTGAGCTTTCGACCCGTCATCCTCTGTCACTCTCTCCTCTAGACACAGGTTCGGAAAAGTGCCTCCAGCCGAGATCGCAGTCCCGGCAATTGGAGCCTTCCACCGCGAAGCCGGACGAGCCCTGCCCGCTTCAAGAGCACCGACCCGCTCGCAGCCACGCCACCCCACACACCCAGACACCCAGCACCATTCAGCGCGAAGCTCTCACGCCAGGTACACCCAAACGTTGCGTTTTTTCTTTCTTTCTTTCTTTCTTTTTTCCTTTTTTTCTTTCTTTCTTTCTTTCTTCCTTTCTCCCTTAAGAGTGTACGCGTGTGTTAAAAAAAAAGTGTGTGACTTAAACATAGATTGAAATGTCTCGTTTTTGTGTTTGCATAATCGCAACTGGAGTGCAAGTAAGCGCGTGTGTGACCGAGTGCGGACTGATCTGACATTTGACTTTTTCTTAGTCAAACAAAATGAAATTTCATGTCATATATATCTCCCATCACGTGTGAGAAATTATTTACAGCAAGACTGAGTAATTTAATAACTGACAAGTATATCTTTTCTTCGGCCACAAATCAATATAGGCTTGAGAATTCATCCCGTGTCAAACATCAGCTCAGTTATTTTTTTTTACGCTCACTGACAGCGTTTGTGCTTTTCTGTGTATGTATTTGATGCAATTCAACTGCAAACAACACTCCTGATTTTTAAAGAAAATATCAATATTCAATTTTTTTTTGTATTGATGTGTGCAACCTCCATGTTTTTATTTGTTAGATCTATGGCATTCTGACAATGAACAAGCGCACTCAGTTATTGGAACAGCTGCAGTTTGTCCAGTTGAAATGCGCGCCTCGAGGTTAGATACTGTCTCCCTTCACCTCGCTGTGTACTGCTGCACAACTTGTGTGTCTGACTCTGCTTGGGTCGTCTGTCCTCTTGCTTGCACGCACACACAAACACACGCACGCACGCACACTCACACACAAGCGTGAATGCAAAAAAAAAAAAAAAGAGGGCAATGTGAAAGTGGTGTTCAAGTGTCAGGGTTTTTTTTCCCGCTTTTGTGACATAAAAACAAATTCTATAGTTGTGTGCATGGGAGTGTGTGTGTGTTACCAAGAGAGGGCTCTATATTGAAGGCCAAACCAGAATGAGGTGGTTTTACTGGTTTTCCTCTTATGAGATGCTGGCTTATGTTTTTGGCCAGAATGAGTGAACACGGGTTTATGTTTGTATTTGCTTTCAGACACACACACACACACACACACACACACACACACACACACACACACACACACACACACACACACACTTAAATCGCACGTGTCTCTCTTCACCTGAGGCTGTCGGTACAGTTTAAGTTAGACTACATGTTTTTGTTTGATGTTGCCGTAATTCCTTCATCTCGCCGTGAGTGCAAAAAGCGATGTGACACAACAGGTGCGACACAATCCGCCTGAGGCTCGACCGACTGGTGCGAGCTTCCTCACCACTGCGCCCTTTATGTTTTCTCTCATATATATTTTGCGCGTGAGTGGTATAAAAATCTCGGTCAATGTTGAGCTCAACTTATTTGTTTGTATTCAGACACAAAATGTTCTCAAAGAAAATAATGCAAATGGCATAATCCATTGCCAACATAGAATGTTTATTAACTTTACAAGCGATATTTCAAGTACCCAATTTCTTGACTTAAAAGGCAAATAGCCTGATTTTTTTTTAATCAGCATAAGACGCGTGACGCGCAGAAAGTCAATCTTACACCTGCTCAGACCACGTCTGAGTGATTAGTGTAGGGTTGACAGCTGTTATAACGCAAAATATTTCATTCAGAAATATGTGAACAGCGGTCAGTAAACCCTCTGTATTACACATTTTTAAATCATTCCACAGGGCAGCACCGCGCTATGCTGGGGCGCATAAATGATCCAGGGTAGGGTGGCGGATCTGCTTTCGCCATGCCGAGGCTCGAGTGTGCGACGAGCACGCTGCATTTAAAGGGAAAAAAAAAAGCAGCGACTTGGACTGGCCAAGATTGAAGTTGGCTGTCACCACTCCCACAGCGGCACAGCCCTCCCTGTTTGCAGAACTGCTGGCGAGCGCTCATCAGCGCAATTAGCTCGATTAAGTCTAACCTGCTACCGTGCATACATATGGCACGTGCCTGGCAGGACTGAACATGAAAATCGAGGCCAAAGACTTACCGACACACCTATAATTAAGTGTAATGACAAGGAAATAGATTAACACTGTACAGTTTGCCAGATTGTGTTGTCTTTTCTATTCAACATGGTTGATTTTACCATATTTTACTGAGCAACAAGGAAGACAAATGCATGCTGTTTTCATATTTACTCTTCATTTTTCAGCATTCTGATTTGTCACCAAGAGCTTTTTGCTCTTCATCAGTTTTAGGTTGGTGGAAAAAAAAAAAACATCCAGAAAAGCTAAAGGCATGTGTGTAAGTAACCGTTAAGGTGCTTATTTTCCTGAATTTTCGCATTGTACTGCAGGGAGTTTGGCTGAATATTTTGAATTTTATGACTGAAGAGGCTAGTTCCATTGTATGCTTTTTTTTAAAAAAAAACTCTTCATTAATTAAGCCTTAGATGTCGCATGGGGTATTATTTTACAGAACTTGGGGGGGAAAAAAAAAGAAAAAATTGCGCTAGTTATCAAGAAGGATTCTCCCTATTTTGCTAAATGAATAAAGGACTGTTTATGTATATGTGTGTGTGTGTGTGTGTGTGTGTGTGTGTGTGTGTGTGTGTGTGTGTGTGTGTGTGTTTGTGTGAGTCATACTTGAGCTTTTCAAGGCTTCACAGGAACGCTGCCCTTCAGGAATAATGTCATTGTCTTATAACGACGCAAATTAGTGTGCCTTTCCGCCCATTTCCGCCATGACTAAAGCTGCTCTCGGTCATCGGGCGTCACCGCCTTTCAACTTCGAACTCAATGGTTTTTGTGCCTTTTAATAAACCTATGACCTTTAAACGGCCTTTAAAACCACCCGATGTGCAAGTGGATGGAAGTATCTGCAAGTGCTCTACCCACAGTCGGGCTAATATGTCCCGTATTTGACTGGACAAACATGAAGGGGGCGATTACGGCACACAGTGCGTATGAGGGTGTCAATGGTAGAGTGGCTGTGTTGACAGTTCTCGCTCGTATA